GGCCTTCATTCCCATTGGTTGACTAACCAGAGAGAGGTACTCAGGCAATGCACCAGACCAACGATACAAGTGGCCACAGCTCTCTAGGGTACACTCTGGCCCTTACTGCAGAGACTCGCCTGCAGCTCCAAAGACTCAGCAGCTTGTACAGAGTGAGGGTGGGAGCACCAGAATGCCCTCTGCTTTTTATCCCACGCGAGGACCCAGGGGATGGGGAGGAGGGACGAGGGGATAGATAGCAAGTTTATTCAAGCTGTACATTCTTCAGGTCTGACTGTGGCCACACAAGAACGTCTACAAGTCAGGAATTTCGTTTGTATTTTAAAATCCCGATTTCTGTTTTCTGTTGAAAAATCTATAGATCTGACAGCATCAAGCCTGCACTCTCTCATGGCCAGGGACACAGCTTTCCCGTCGACAAAGTACAAGCTCTCTCCATTTTGCCGCACTCCCGCTTGTCTGGCCCAATGCATCACTTCCACCATCAGCCTTGCTCCTGTAGCCACTTGAGTCCCTAACGTCTAGAGCAGTGGTTCTCAACCTGTGGGTCGCCAACCTGTGGGTCGCGACCCCTTTAGGGTTCGCCTAAGACCATCAGAAAACACATATATAATTACGTATTGTTTTTGTGATTAATTACTATGCTTTAATTATGTTCAATTTGTAACAATGAAAATACATCCTGCATATCAGATATTTACATTACGATTCATAACAGTAGCAAAGTTACAGTTATGAAGTAGCAACGAAAATAATTTTATGGTTGGGGGTCACAACATGAGGAACTGCATTAAAGGGTGGTGGCATTAGGAAGGTTGAGAACCACTGTGAGGCTTTGAATCATCTGTGCTATTCTATTACCTTATGCGATGGCCTCGCCCCCACCTGGTGGTGGGCCTGAAAGTATTCTCCCTTCACAGATGAACAAAGTGAGATCCAGAGAGGTAACGGATCTTAGTAGGTCACACAGCTGGTTAGCCCTGAAGGCAAGGACTAAAATCCAGACCTTGGCACTTTTTATTTTTCTACCCCTTGCCAGTCATCATATACCCAAATGGTTGTTTGCTTGCTTTAAAGGACTTCACTTCTGGCTATGGGCAGTGTGGTTAAGTGGATAGAGCATCAGCCCATGTATCAAAGGGCTGTGGGTTCAATTCCAGGTCAAGGGCATGTACTTGGGTTGCAGGTTTGATTCCCAGCCCCGGTCAGGGTGCATGTGTTCAATGTTTCTCTCTCACATTGATGTTTTTCTCTCTCTTTCTCACCCGCTCCCTCCTTTCTACTTTCTCTAAAATCAATGGAAAAAATATCCTCAGGTGAGGATTTAAAAAAAAAAAGTACTTCAATTCTGTTTCAGAATGCTTCTGTGACATTGTCAGCAGCCTACAGACAAGTTTCATTTGGTCTACACACTTCCCAGCGGCCAAGACTGATGGCATGGACTTGGCCTTCATTTATTTTCTCCTTATAATAATCCCATATGGCAGATACTATTATCCCCATATTATGGGTGAGGAACCTGAGGCAGAGAGGCTAGGTGAATGCAAGACTGATATTCCAATGGTATACACTAGTTTAGTTCTATCAGTTGTAAAAATAATTACATCTTTTAAAAAAAATCCTCACCTAAGGATACATTTTACTGATTTTATAGTACATGTTACTGATTTTAGAGAGCGGGAAACGAGAGAGAAAGAGAGAGAGAGGGAGAGAGAATGTGTGAGAGAAACATTGATCAGTTGCCTCCCATCCAAACCCAATCGGGGACTGAACCTGCAACCTAGGTACATGCCCTGACCAGGAGTCAAAGCGGGAACCTTTCAGTGCACTGGACAACCATCCGACCCAGCCACACCAGCTAGGGCTAAAATAGTTACATCTTTTAATGGCAGTTGGCAAGCAGCCCCTGCCTGAGCCTCTACAGCACATTCCCCACCACCCTGGCGGCTCCCCCAGGATCACAGCTGAGCAATGACTGGGTTACTCTTATACCTGCACAGGAGCCTGTGTCAGTGCTAGTTCTGATTGGGTGGTGTCTGTGTCGAAAAGATTTGGGAGATTTGGGATATTTCACCACTGAGTGATAAGTTTGCATTTTTAATGGTACAAATTTTCAATGTTACGACTAACGAATGTACTCTGCCAAAAGCCCAAAGAGCTATGAGAATTCAGCCATCTACGGTGGAAAACTACTAAATGGATGAAAGAAAAGAGGCACTACCCAGTACTGCCTAAAGCACATTTTCTGCCTCAGTACCTCTGAGGGCAACACAAACTCTCAGCAGTGACAGTGACTTTGGCAGCTCATAGCAGAAGCTCCCAGGGGAAAGAGGCATATACAATGAGAAACTGCCCCACCCCCATCCCAGTGTGACTCACTGCCCAAAGGATGCATTTAGGGCCACTTGGTGGGATGTCAGCATCAGAAATTGTCCCTCAGGGTAGCTGCAAACTTTCTGGGCAAAAGCCAGGGGCAGGTCCCAGGAGCTCACAGACTGGTCCTGACCTTGCCCTGAGGGCAAGCACTCACATTTCAGTGAGGAATGGTTGGTTTCTTTCTGAATAATCGTCACCCTTGAGTGGTAGGTCAGGGCTATCTGTACTCAGTGAGGAAGTTGATCATTCTTGCCTTCAGTTATTGTCATCTTGGTCTCCTGAGTCCCTTTTTATAGCTTATGGGTTGCAACTTCCTACTCTTTAACATCCCATTACTTAAACCCATTTTGTGCAGATTAACAACTTAAAAAATAGTACTCTCTAAAGGTAATTGGCATTTTTTATAACAGCTTTATCTATCTATATAAAACCCTAATATGCAAATCAACCATACGGCGGAATGACTGGTCGCTATGACATGCACTGACCACAGGGGGCAGACGCTCAACACAGGAGCTGCCCCCAGCCCACAGGCCCTGACCTGCGGCAGCGGGGGGCAGGGCCGGCGAGTGGGCTGTGCAAGGCCAGCCAATGCAGGTGCAAGCAGGCCTAGGGACCCTACCTGTGCACGAATTTTGTGCACCGGGCCTCTAGTTGATATATAACTCACATACCATAAAATTCACCCTTTTAAAGTACACAATTCAATGGTTTTTAGTATATTCAGAATGGTGTACCATTACCCATGGAATTTAAAAATATTTTCTTCAAACCTGCCCCCTCCCCCAAAGAAACCTCTTACCCATTTGCAGTCACTCCCTATTTTCCACCTGCTCCCAGCCAGTCCCTGGCATCTAAGAAATCTACTTTTTTCTATAGATTTGTCTTCTGGACATTTCCTATAAATGAAAAAAAAAAAAAAAAAGTCTTTTGTAATTGGCTTTTTTTTTTTTCTTAGCATTTTTCAAGGTTCATCCATGCTGTAGTATGTATCAGTACATCATTCCTATTATAGATAAATACTACTCAATGGTATGGTTACAGAAGACTTGGGTAGCTGCCACCCTTTGACTATTCTGAATAATGCTGCTATAAACATTTGTGTACAAGTTTTTGTGTGGATGTTTTCATTTATTTTGGGTGTATACCTAGGAGTGGAATGTCTATCATATGGTAACTCCATTTAACCATTTGAGGAATAGTCAAGCCATTTTCCAAAATGGCTCCACCAGTTTACATTCCCACCAGCAATGAATAAGGGTTCTGATTTCTCCACTTCATCATTTGTTGTTTGACTTGGTAAGTGTGAAGTTATAGCTCACTGTGATTTTGATTTGCACTTCCCTACTGACTAATGATGTTGACCATCATGTGTTATTGATCAACTAGGGGCCCAGTGCACGAATTCATGCACCTTGAAAGGAACTGTGGGCCGCAAGGCTGCAGTGGGCACAGGGGCAGGTCTCGGCCCATCCTCCGTGCCCCCAACTGGCCCCTCCTGCCACAGCCCCCAGTCCCGTCTGCTAGCAGCCCCGCTCCTGCTCCCACATGCTGATGGTGCCGGCCCCACTCACACCCACTGACGGTGCGGAGTGGTTGGGGCCAGCACCAGCAGCAGATGGGAGCAGGGCCAGCACCATCAGTGGGTAAGAGAGACAGCTGCTGCCCCAATCGCCCCTCAGGAGTAGGGGGAGGTAGAGAAGCCCTCAGGAGTGATCAGGGCCAGCAGCCACCACTCGCACCCACTGATGGCACCGAGTGATCAGGACTGGCGCCAGCACTGACAATGGGTGCTAGCAGGGCTGTCACCAGCAGTGGGTGCAAGAGGCAGCTGCCAGCCCCAATCGCCCCTCAGGAGCGGGGGCGGGGAGAAGCCCTGAGGGGTGATCGGGGCAGCAGCTGCCGCTGAGTGATTGGGACTGGGTGTGAGCAAGTCCAGCACCGGCAGCAGGTTCGAGTGCTGGACGGGAACATGATGCGCGGGAGCAAAGAATTTTCAGTAACCACTAGAGGCTTGCTCCGATGACAGCAACTGGAGGCCCCGCCTTGGTCGGCGCCCCTGCTCACCTGCTCCACCATCCCACCACGGCCGATACCCACCATGTGCCGTCCGCTGCCGACGCCCGCTATGTTCCGCATGTGCCCCCTGGTGGTCAGCGCCCATCATAGTGACCGGTTGTTCGTTTGTTCCGCCGTTCGGTCTATTTGTATATTAGGGTTTTATAAATATAGTTTATCTTCCTTGGAGACATGTCTATTCAGATTTTTTGTCCATTTTTGTTGTTAAGTTGTAAAGAGTTCTTTGAATATTTTAATACAAATTCCTTATCAGATATCATTTCCAATTATTTTCTCTAATTATGTGGGGTCTTTTCACTTTCTTGATGGATAGTATCCTTTGAAGCACAAAATTAATTTTCATAAAGTACAATTTATCACATTTATTTTCGTTGCTGTTTGTGCTTTTGATGATACATCCAGTAAGTGTTGAGGGCACTAAAAGGAAGCAGCTTCACATCTTATTCATGCCCACTAATACCATCTGGAAAGTTATAAAGAGCTTTTAGTCGTTCTACTTGAGACAAAGAAAAATATTAATTTGTAAAGATTTATTAAGAAAAATATCAATTTATAAAGATTTATTAAGATATAAAGGTACAAAGAACAACATACACCTGTGTCCCCACTACCCAACTTAAGATAAAGTTTGCCAATAAGGTCTTTGTGTCCCCTTCCTATCTCCACTTAGGAGGTAGGCATTTACCCTAAAATTGGTGTTTATTATTCTCATGCATTTCTTCATAGTCTTCCTACATGTGTATGTACCCTTTATCAATAAGTAGTATTGATCTGTCTCTTTAAACTTCATATAAATAGTATCATGTAATTCTTATCTGCACCTGCTTTCCTCCACATTGTTGAGATTTGTCCATGTTATTACTGGTGTAAGTATATAACTACAGCTCTAGTTCATTAACATCCACATTGTAAAATACATTGTTTATCCATCCTATAGATGGATATCCATGCTGAAATACCTAAAAAGGAGGAAAATGACACAACATTTTTGAGCACATAAACTAGTTACCCTAGAACCATGGCTTTCCATATCTTTTTGACTGAAGCCCACAGTAAAAAATACATTTTATATCTCAACCCTATGCACACGTTTGTGTGTAGACATATATTCAGTATATAACAAAAGTTTCACGTGACACTGTCTCCATGTTTTATGTTGCTATAGTTCCTTAAATGCATAAACAAAAGATGGTTTATAGCCCTAGCCATTTTGGCTCAGTGGATAGAGCATCAGCCTACGGACTGAAGGGTCCCAGGTTCTAGGGCAGGTTCTGGTCAAGAGTAGGTTGCAGGCTCAATCCCTGGCCCTGGTCAGGGCGAGTGCCGGAGGCAACCAATCCATGTGTCTCTCTCACATCAAACATCTGTCTCTATCCCTCTCTTCCGCCCTCTCTAAAAATCAATGGAAAATATCCTTGGGTGAGGATTACAACAACAAAGATGGTTCATAGACACTGAAGTGATTTCATGACTTCTCTGTGTAGGCTACCATCACAGTTTAAAAGCTGCTCAAGAGTATCATTCCAAGAAGTGGAACTGCTGGGTCATGGAGTGTCTAAGCTTGGGTTGCCATAACAAAACACTATAGAATGGGTGGTTTAAGCAACAGACATTTTTTTCTCAGTTCTAGAGGCTGGAAGCCAGAGATCAGGGTGCTAAGCATGGTTCATTCAGGTGAAAGTCCTCTTCCAGTCTTACAGGCCTTCTTACTTTGTCTTCCCATTAAGACTCTCCTCAAAAAAAAGACTCTCCTCTTCTTGTAAGAGCACTAATCCCATCATGGGGCTTCACCCTTATGATCTCAACTAAATGTAACTACCTCCCAAGGCCCTATCTCCATTGGGGAGTAGGGCTTTTTAACATATAAATTGGTGTGTTGGGGGGGGGGGGGCGGGGGGGCAGGGGGCGGAGACGACAAACATTCAGTCTATAGCTTGAAGTATACACTAAACAATTCCACTCATTCCCAAAATAGTTGTAGCAAATTATGCTCAAACAAAGACAAGCAAATTGTACTGTTCTGCCTCCTTGGTGGATTTAAATGTACTCCTATCTGATTCTGCCTATGTGAAATGGCATCCTGTCACGTAAGTATGCATTTCCATGAGCCTGAGCATCAGTCCTACGTTTACTGGCCATCTATATTTTCTTTTTCCATATACTACAAGAAATGGATCTACCTACAGAAAAAGTTTCCATGGCTAATCCAGAGATAAGCTGGAACGCTTACTCAGGTGTGTGGTTCTGGTGTTTAAATCTGCAACTGCCGAAGAGAAAAGGGAGCCAATCAAACATTACCTTCTCAGGAACACTTTGTTTTCAGGCCAGTGTGAGTAGAATCAGCAGGGAAAGAAGAAAAGCCAGGTAAAGAGGTTTTGTTTTTCTTAAAGCTAAAAAGCCCTAATTTGAATAAAGGAAAAAATCTTCTCTTGGAAAGTCTAGCTATATAAATCTGAATAAGCTGTTCTTCTGTTCTCAGTCTTCCAATCTGAACAATTAGGCTAACAATCTGTACCATTTATCCCCATGTGGAAATTTTGAAATAAACATTCTTTTAAAACTTTGAAAATAAAGAGTTTGCAGAAATTCAAAGTTCTGTGAGTGTTAGTCACACAATGCCTTCCAAAAGCTTAAGTGAGAAGATAGAACTGTAGTCCTCTGAACAGCTTTTTGGAATAAGCAATTCTGCTGAATTCCTGCCTAAAAAGCCCGATGGCTCTGCAGAACAATGAACTATCTCCTAGGCAATTATATCCTATCCACAGCCCTACCTTTCAGTGTCAAAGAAGAAATTCTTCATTTTACAGGCTTAGAAATCAAATCTGTCAGGGGTCTGATGGCCTTTCTGGAGCCTCCCGTCCCCTGGTTCGCGCTTTTTATACATTAGTCACCTCACTCTCTGGGTCTGAACCCCCTCATGCTGCAGGAGCCAAGATCCATCCTGATGTCAGACCTGCTTTAGACTCAGTCTCAAGAGTGAGGGCTCAAGAGTCCACTACACTTCACCTTCCCATGCTTAGGAAGAAGCAATCATGGGAAGGAAACAAATGGCTGCTCTGAGATGTCAATTACCAAATCACAAAGGAAAAAACTGGTTCCGAACAGCTTCCTTTACCAAAGAATAATTAGCTGGGTCGATATAATTTACAACCAAGGGGTGCCCTCAACCAGCAGGCCAGGATCTGGAGGTCATACCAGCTGCTGCTGCCGCCACACCTTCCTTCTGAGGTTTGACTTCTCTGCCAACAGGTACACTCATCCTTTACTCACATCCCCCCGCCACCAAATGGGATCTTGAGGCCTGGCAGAAAGAGATCCCTGCTGCCTAAACCCATCTCCAGCTAGAAGGCACACCACCTACAGCGTGGCAGCTGAACTGAGCCAACAGTCCCACCACCTCTGTTGAGCCAATGCAATGGGTGCTTTTCTGCATCTATACAAGGTTTGTGATCATCACATGCATTTCTTTACTACACGCATTGCTCCTTCCAGTATTTACTACTGTATGCTTTTCCTCAGGCGGATTCTCCCAGTCAAAGCTCCACGGTGGCCCAGGACTTCTTCAATTCTGTGAATCAGGGTGCTCCCAAACATGGAGTCGAGCAAGTGAAGAAAATCATACCTCCTAAGATTGCTCCTTCATAGATCAGTAACATGGTTAAAACAAAACCTAGAAAAAATTCACTTTGATTGCAAAATTGGAACTGAAGAGATATTTACATATTTGATAAAGATTTACCTATAATTTTTTTCTATTTAGACTGAAGTTATAAATAGCTGTCAACAACTGTGACAAACATACAAATAAGGGAAGGCAAGGCCAAAAGGCAGCAGAGATAGGAGGAGGAAGCCAGAATGAGATTAAATACTACCCACTGATTATTTTACTCATGCCTTGTCTAACCTTCAAAAGCACAGCATCCCAGGGCAAAAGGGTTAAAAAGCAAGACTTTAAGTATTGTCTTCTCAAGCCTGTGTAAAGGAGTCTCACGGCACTAAAATATCTACGTTGGAAATACAAAATAGTATAGAAGAACTAAAAACATTTCCTATTTGCTAATAGATCTTGTTCTAGTGTAAGTAGAACTAAAAATTCTTAGCAACAGTAAGAGATACAGGAGTGTATGTTTTAATAAATATAGGCCTCACTCTCCCTGGTTCCTCATTCTCCTTTACGTGAAATTACAAAAACAACCCGATGTTAATATGGTAGTTCCTATAATTTTGATAACCAAATAAAAAATCTGAAAATAGAACCAAATTAGTACAGAAAATTTATGTAGGCTATTTCTGAAACACCCTGTATTTGCTTCAATGTTCAAGCACGTGCAAAGTGCATGCAGTAACCGTGTCTTACCCTGGTGCTCTGGCCTCTGGGAAGTAACTGTCAGCTGAATTTTATTCCCAGGAACAAAGGTGCCTAGCACTGGGGAGTCTTCAACCCTCTTTGAAATCTCATGGGAGGTGGAGGGCGGGGAGAACAGGAAAGCTAATGCAAAGCTATTTTTATCTACATCTAACATACCAAAGGCCACTTGCAAAACATTTTGGAAGCAGGATACAGTTATTACTTGGAAAAATCAGGCATCTTATAACAGTAAACTCTGTTGACAAAATATAATCTACTTTCACATCCAAAAGCTAATTAGGGAGCTGCTCTAGGCACCACCTAATTAACTGAAGCATATAGAAAAAAAAATCCTTAGAAATTATCATTGTTTAAATACACTCTATTTTATTTTTGTCTTAAAATAGTTTAACCTTTATGCTACAGACTTATTTCAAAAAAACAGAAAATCTTATCTTGCACCAAAAAATATATATATAACACTCTGTTTTATTATTTTTTTTTCTCCAAAGACCATTAAATACTAAATGGAAACAAAAACTAAATAATGAATGTAAAGAACCAAATTGTTTTAAAAACTAGAGTTGCACATTTTAAAACATAATTCTAAGCAATGATTTGTCGTCACTGCATCAAGTCCACACTCACACTCTATCAACAGCAGATCTGTTAACCACCAAGTGCATTGATTCCTAGCCATACAATGGCTAACATTTCATTTTCACGGTAAGAGGAGCAAAAGGCTTCAATGACCTTTGTACTCTTTTTAAAAAAACAAAAACAAAACAACAACAAAAGAATATTTCCTAGTTATCCAGTGACTTTTTTTAAAGATTACTACCCTTTAAAGTTTGTTAAAGAATAGGAACATAGTGTTTTAAATAAAATGAAAAAATACAACAGCATTGGACTAAAATATGTGATTATTTTAAACAAACAGTGCACAATCTGAGGAAGTTTGGTTAGGGTGCAATCATTTTTATATATACATGGAAGTCACATCATACACATACTGGAAAACAGGGATTAGGGCTCTTTGCCTTTAAAAAAAAAAAAAGTTAAACTAAAAGACAAAATTGTGTCCCCAGCTTTTTCAAAAACTTTGTGACACAGTACAAAAAAGCAGGCAACAAATTCATTTTGAAGTTACCTATGGTGCTAATCTGCTCAAAGTAATAATGAACAACTGACTAAATTAGCAAATCAGACAGTTCATATTCACAACTGATAATAAAAACAGTTTATGGGATGCTCAATTGTAAAGGATAATGGAGTCCATTCAGTCTGGCTCCTTCCAACAAAATGAAAGGACAACTACAGTGAGCAGCAATTACATGTTACAGGCAGTCGTGATGATGTAATAAATAGCTGGTCACTGCTCTGTGGTTTCAAATTGGGTGGAGAGGAGACTTAACCAAATTAGTGCCATAAACCATCTGTGACCCAAGTGCACCATTTAGCAGATATATTATTTTGAATGGACAATGTTCTATGAAGCATAAAGAAGTATTTATGCTACCAAATGCAAAGTTTTGGTTAAAAAGGATCACCTTACAAGAAATTTCAAATGTCACAGGAGTTGTTTACCACAGAATTTTGTCATTAATATCTTGCCAGAAACTACATCCCTGCTCTACTGGATCTGGCAATGAAAGAGGAGTTGAAGCACAGTCTCTCTATAGTTAATAGGTGGGAAAGTTCCTAACTAGTAGGAGGAAAGGATGACTGTCTCTACCATCCCTTCTCCTCTCCTTTTTTGCATCTTAATTTCTAAATCTCTGTTCTGGTGCATCAACTCAGGAGGCTGGGAGCTGGAAGAGGCACAGGTGAAGGCAAAGTGCAACCTGCTATAAAAGCAAAGGCCAGAAAAGAGCGTGGTTACAACTTCACTCTGCTCCCAATCTACAGTGCACACAGCACAATAAAATAATTCTCTTTAGAGGATGACTATTAGGAGCTAAAGAAAATATGTCATGGGAAATCACCTGCTGTACAGAACTGGACAAACATTAACATGAGTATGTACTGCAAAACATTCTTTAAAACGGAGCTCTGCCCTGATATTGGGGACAAAATAAGCTGCAAAAACTTCAAGTCAAATAATCCATTCTATTCTTTTCCAATTATTTTCCTGGAACACACAGACCAGAAACTGTACATTTCTGCTTTGTCTAGCATTTTAATTCAAGTCACAAACAACGTGTAACAGTAAAATTTAATAAATTAATCCTAAAGTATAATGTGAAGTGAATCTGCAGAAGGTCCTATTTCACTCTGGCCTCTGGGTCTTTGGTTTTTGTCTAGAACTGTAGCCATGTGAGAGACTGGAGATATGAGGTGCTAAAACTGGAAGTTAGTGATCTTTTAAAGGCTTGATCTATTAGGAGTAGAATGACAGAAAAATAAAAACTTGATGAAGAACAGAGGCCAGATCAAATGAGACATCAGAGAAGCTCAAAGAACACATGCTTAAATACACTCCCAGGAAGAGGTGTATGGAAGTAAAGCAGCAGGAAGAAGGGTAAAGGAACAATTGAGTCTTTCAAAATATAAAAGAAAAGGCCAGGCAGGTGAAGCCATGCCGGTGGGGTCTTCAGGTGCATGCACACACAGGGGGTGTCTCATTTATCTCAGCGGCCCCACAGCACCCAACCTGCAAGTGCCTTATGTGAAACAGGCACTTACTAAATAAGTGTCCACTGAATGAAACTAAGAAACAGTAGTTCTCATGCTCTTATGATAAGGAAGAGCCAGCAAGGTATTTGGGGAGGGAGGCAAAGGGCTTCAGCAATATTATATGGTAAAAATGGAACCAAACCACCCCCCCAAAGGCCAACAAAAACTGTTGGAGAAACAAAAGGAGGTCTTCTAAGCCAATATTACTTCATTCCTCCTTGTGCACAGTACATAGTGTTTTAACTCTAGGTATTGTTTGTAAACTAATTGCACTAGTAACTGCAACATGTCAAAGGAAAAAGGTAGTAACTAATGCCACAAACTCCAACACTGGTATTTCCTGAATTCCCTGAAGCTCCTACTATTCTTTGCCATACCTTTTAGATACTATAAAACCTACACTGCCATTAATGTGCTTTGCATCTGATTTCTTATGGTATATTTTGGTTTTTCTAATTTTAGAAGGTATTGGAGAAAAATACCCAAATACAGAATCAAGTCAATTTCAGCTCAAGTTTGAACAGTTGTTGTACATCCTTTATAGAGAGAACAGCTATGAAAAAAGGCACTTTCCTCTCAGATTTGCAAGTGCCCAAAGCCTTAGAAGCCACACAACTCTATATTCTACCTAAGTAGTAACAGGTTTCTATGTTTGCCTGTTATTTGAATAAACCAGGAAAAAGTTCAGGGTGAGAGATTTTTCCTACTGATCTCTCAGTACTCTCTTCATATGCCCAAAAAATCTTGTGGTGGGTATCTATCCAAAATGCCTCGGCCACAAAAGGAGACATTTTCCAAAGAGTTATGAATTATTGCAACAAAGAGACAAATTAAGTCATCTTAGCAGTATTTATAAACACAAAGGGACATGTCAATTATTTGTGTTGTGGGAATTCAGCAAGAAGCTAAGTCAGGAAAGAAGTCAGAAGACTTAAGCTAAAAGAAAATAATACTCTGTCTTCTATTTCTAAGGACAGGTTTCAAATGCACATGCCCTACTAGGTGCCAATAAGGACCTAACTAATATGTGTGCAAATGCCCTAAGGTGGGAGTGCCAATGGGTGGGCTGACAGAGGTCAAGTCTAGATATTCATTTTATTACACAGAAAAATAAATACAAGATTCAAACACTGAAATTCATTTCACCTGGTAATTAAAAGGAGGGCAGAGTTTCCTAAGAAAAAAGTCACCAAGTAAAATGAAGTTGTCTAATAAAGTCATCATTCTCATATTCCTACTGAGGGAAAGAAATTCTTTTTCTCTGTGATTACGTTATTTTCCTGACTTCTTTTGATTTACAAAAAAGAAAAAAGAAAAAGGAGGGGAGCAACTTTTCATAATTTTTGATTATACAAATGCCACAAACAGCTTCTGAGGCTGAAGCTATGACAATGAACTTCCATGTCGCAAAGAGGAGGAGGAGGGAGTGGAAGGGGACAGTGCGGAGGAACACAGTGACATTGTATTACAGTAGGTATTTACGTCTGCTATCCTCATCCAAGGTAAGGTCAACAACTTCTGCAGGTGAAGCCCAGGTCTGCTGGGGAGTCACAGCAGTCCATGACTGTGTCTGCCGGCTGCTAACATACGGTGTGCCCGAGCCATGCTTCCATGAAGAAACACTCTGAATCACACCTCCTCGAGGATGGACACACCTACAATTGAGATGAAGAGAAAAAGCATGGCTAACCGTACTACTGGAAAGATAGAAGGCAATACAGCTTCACTCGTACTGATCAATACTTTTACTAAGATCTACTATGCAAGATCATGAAACCCACAACCAATATCCCTTTTATTCCCTCCCTCCATGTCTGTCCATCTGTCTGCCCACCCCCCGACCCCCCTCAGTTTAGCCTAAAAAAGCCAGGAGTTTTCTCTCATTCAAAACTCCTGAGTTGCCTGGCCAGCATGGCTCAGTGGTTGAATGTCGACCTATGAACGAGGAGGTCACAGTTTGATTCCCAGTGAGGACACATGCCCAGGTTGCAGGCTCGATCCCCAGTGGGGGGCATGCAGGAGGCAGCTGATCAATGATTCTCCCTCATCACTGATGTTTCTATCTCTCTCTCCCTCTCCCTTCTTCTCTGAAATCAATAAAAAGTATTTTTTTAAAAACAACTCCTGAGTTATGTGTAGGTCTGTTAGTGACAATGGATATATTTCTCTGAACTCATTTAAACCTTTGGATCTTCAGGACAGGGCACCATATAAATCCAGAACAAAATGAATATGCCCAAATAATCTTAGTCTGAACAAATAAAACAGTAAGAAATATAAGTGAAACTTGTTCTTAAAATAAGTTCTGTGCCATATTTAGTAATAACACCTTCAAAGACAGTAATAGTAATATCCCTTTAAGGATTAAATTTCTAAAAGTCTATAAGTACTATGTCATGCACAAAGGATCAATTTCCCTTGTTCTGAAGGTGACAACAGAAACACCTGGCTCTTTCATCAGAACTCCTTATGCTTTAGTGCAGTGTAAGTAACAAATACTCAGTTTAGATTCTCTAAAAGTAACAAGTACTCAGTTTAGATTCTCAAAAAGTGCTCCATCAGAGGAACAGAACTGCCTCTTGCTGAAGAAACTCACTAGGAGTTCACTGGGAGAAAACTGTTTCAGAAGTACTGACAAATCATTTCACATTCTGGTCAAATGATAGGACTGTAAGGTTCCAGTTTAAACCACTGAGTAAGTTTTGATTCAAATGAGAGGAAAGCAGGAAAGCTCAATTTATCATCATTATTTCAGGAGGAAATAGAACCCAATTGTTATATGCCGGGGTCCAACCCCAGCAGGTCCAGGGGTTCCCAAAGGCGTAGACGGAGTCGGCGAAGAAGGAAGGACACGGAGACAGTGTTCAGTTGATCAGCAGCCTAGCCAGGATCTCTAGCCAAGTTCTGGTCAGGATCTCCAGTGAAGTTCTGGTTAGGATCTCCAGCCAGGTTCTGTGTCCATGTTGTCTTCTAGGTTCTCCAGGTTCTCCAGCCAGGTTCTGTAGCCATGTTCCCTCGCTAGGTTCTCCAGCCAGGTTCAGTCACCAGGTTCTAGTCAGTTTCTCTTGCTAATTTCTGTAGTCAGGTTCAGTCCAGGATCTTTTGCCATGTTCTCTCCAGCGAAGTTCTTCTGTCTCTAGGTTCTGAGTAGGTTCTGTGTTCTCTCTTCTGTGTTCTAAGTTCTGTGTTCTAAGTTCTGGCTCTCTTGGTTCCGTATTCTAAGTTCTGTGTCTTGCTGTCTTATTACATCTGTATTTATACCAGTTGATTCAATCCTATCAATCTCTATTACAAAGGTTAGGGCGTTTCTTATCTCCATTCCAGGGAGTAAAGATTATGTAGCTTAAGCATGATTGTTCGTAAAGTGATTAATTACCCGCCTGGCACTAGTTAAGAGGTTTTATTCCCTCCCTAACTCCAGGGGAAAATCCCTACCTGGGGAAACAACCTTTCTCAGAGACCTTGGTTAAAACACATAGTGCCAAGAAGGTGAGCAAACATATTAAAAACAGTATGCCATATATGCCAGGTCCCTTGAAACAGCAAGCATGGACCGGCTCCCGGCAGTTATAAGCCCTAAAGAGATGCCCTATAAAGAAAAATGTGAGAGGCTCAAAATACTGTAAGGCAACTAACATAAAGCACAGATTTTCATGTATTATCACACATTCTTTTTTTCTACATTATGAAAGGCATGGGGTGAGAGCATACTCAGCTATTTTTTAATTGGTCCAATCCCAATTCTAGTGCAGATACAGGCTTTCTCACATCTGCATATGACTGGCAATAGGTATAAAACAGGACCTAGTCATATAACCAAGAAAATGCTTAGGCCTTATTTGGGGGGGGCACCTTTGTAAACAAAAACTTTTTGTTGTTGTTAACCCTCACCTGAGGATATTTTGTCCATTGACTTTTAGAGAGAGCAGAAAGGAAGGGGGGGAGAAGGGAGGAGGGACAAGTGGGAGGGAGTAATAGAGGGAGGAGGAGGAGGAGGAGGAGGAGGAGGAGGAGGGAGGGGGAGGAGGAGGAGGAGGAGGGAGGAGGAAGGAGGAGGGAGAAGAGAGGGGAAGAAGAAGGAAGAAGGAAGAAGAAAGAAGGAAGGAAGAAGGAAGAAGGAAGAAGAGGGAGAAGAAGAGAGGAAGAGAGAAAGAAGAAGAAGAAGAAGAGAAGAAGAAGAAGAAGACGAAGAAAAGAAGAAGAAGAAGAAGAAAGAAGACGAAGAAGAAGAAAGAAGAAGAAGAAGACGAAAGAAAGAAGAAGAAGAAAAAGGAAAGAAGAAGAAGACAGAGAAAGAAGAAGAAGAAAGAAGAAGAGAAGAAAGAAGAAAGAAGAAAGAAGAAAGAAGAAAGAAGAAAGAAGAAGAAGAAGAAGAAGAAGAAGAAGAAGAAGAAATCAATTGTTTGCTTCCGGCACATGCTCCAAACCAGGCGTCAAAACTGCTACCCAGGTATGTACCCTTGCCGGGGATTCAAATCTGAGACCCTTCAGTATGCGTGGGCTGACTCTCTATCCACTGAGCAACACCAGCCAGGGCATAAACAATAACTTTTGATAGAATAATTTCCTGCTCTTCATACACTAAAAAACCAATAAAGGACAGACTTCACAGTAGAAGAGAACAAAACAAACAAACAAACAAAAAACAAAAAGAACACAGAAAGGGGGCAGGCTCTGATGGTCAGCTTTTGATACAGTTAACTTATATTCTAAAAAGCAAACAAACAAAAACAGCAATGACATTAAAAATTTAATCATTCCTGCTGTCATTTATAGAGCCTGAAGGTGACCTCTTATAATACTCCTACTTATTTTTCCTAATTGAGGATGAAATGAATCCTGTGACTTTAGGAAAATACTTGTCTGACTCCCTTGATTTTTTAGGATTAATGTTAGCAATTGGGTTCTAGGAAGCAACCAGTCTAAAATGCAAAACGCTTCTCATATCTATTCTTTTGCTGAGGGATGAACAAACATTGATACCAATGACCACAGAACCAAAGACTACACAGTGCATGAGGTTAAGGGTCTGATTATCACAAAGGCTTCAGAGAATAGGTACTGAAGGAACTGTTCCAATACAGTTCCATGATAGGAAGATCTGTGCTATAAGGATTTAATTTCCTAGGGAAATTACCAATGAGGCTGGTAGAAGAAAAGAAGGAAAAGGGACCAAGAACCAAGAAAAATATTGGCATAGGGGTCATAAATTAAAACTGCTGGCAAAATGAAGTGGCACAGAACTAGAGGTGTTGGAAAAGTCTCTCACTGGCAAAGAACATCTTGTGAAAGTGGACTCTCCAACAATAAACACCTGGAAATTACAACATTTAGGTCAGGAGTTCTTCACAGCAATACAAAGCAGCCATAAAATATGCATTCAATTATTAGTTCAAAAAGCATGCTTTCTAGTCTATGACTAGAAGAAACACAGAAGTGAACATATCAAAATCGAAAGTAAAAGAGCAGGAAAGATGTTAACATGCAAGAAAAGAAAAGCAACTGGTTTTTTTTTGTTTTGTTTTGTTTTTAAAGCACATCACAACTAGAATTACTAAGTACAAAGGTCAAACAAAATGCTTCCAAATATGGAAAAATGGCACCCAAAGCAATCCAGAACCACCACAATTCCAAAGAAAACTCAAGGACCAAGTCCGTGTTTTAAAAAACCTCTCAGAAAGCCCACAACAAGGTAAAATATCGTAAGAAAAAATAAGGATGACTAAATTCAAACAAAACATCTGTGCATGCAAAGCAAATTAGAACAAAAAGATGTTGATCAAAACCTAAAACCTTTTTCCAAGCGATAACCCTGCCAGAAGCCCATCAATACTTCATAACTGCAACCCTAGACCTGTAAAAGAAATAAATTCCAGATGAGATACAGGTGGCCACAGGGCAATTCTGAAGCAACCGGGAAAGCCTCTCCCCCACCTGCTTCTCAGCTACTTAATCTCAATGTTTAAAAGCTTATCAGGCTTCTTTTCTAAAGAAACTGCTGAAATTTTTTCAGAAAGACAGAAGAGTCAGTGAGACTCCACTCAGTCTGTAACCAAAGACCAAAACAAAAGACAGCCCCAACAGGATCTTTTAACTCTACATTCCATTGTTCAGACAATATAACCACTGAGATTTCAGAATGGAATTGCCACCTCTAAGATATGACTTCCCCAGGATTCAAACCAAAGAGTCTGAATAAAGCACATCTTTATACTTCAGATCCTGTACGAAAAAGTCCTTGAAAGTAATATTATAGCATGTCATTTAAAATGTAGCTACAGTCAGAACTAAAGTAAAACAAACATTATTTATAGAATAAAATGACAATCTGGATAAAAGACCTAACAAGTTTAGAAGACGGTGTACTAGAGATCATCTGTGTGTATGTTGGAGGTGATGAGGGACTTAGAATTCACATTTCCAAGTTTTAACAGAAATATGATCATTTTAACTCCAGATAGCAATAATATTGGTAGAAAAAGAAGCAAAAATTTTCATGATGGAAGAACAGTTGAACAAAGAAGCTGAAAAGAAAGATGGCTCACTCTGCAACATTTTAGGCATAAGGAGACAGTCAAGAAGGGAGACGTGGGAGGAGTTACTAGAGAACTGGACCAAGTGATATATCTCAGCAGAATAAGAGATTAGATAAACAACAAAGGTCACTATCTACTCTTTCCTACTTCAGTAGGAACACATGAATAATAACAGTGAATTAAAATTTGAAATGTAACTCAAGAGGAAGTTGGTGAATGGATAATGTGTTCCTGGCACAAATGAAGATAATTTACTGACATCAATCTGTCAATAGGCAGAGTAAGTTTTATAGGAGGGAATCTGAAGTAAAAAAATACTGTAATATTCTAGAAAGATCCTGACATGGGGCTTAAAAGGAAAATGTCTTCTATATTATAAGGAACAATGGTAAAATGAACTAACAGCAGACACATGCTGAAGTAAAGGAATAAGTCAGGAGTTCTACTTCCTCATCTAATAGATAAGTCAGCTTGAAGGGAATAAACAGAAAAATAGGGAAAAAAAGGAAAAGTTTTAGGACAGGCAGAAAAAAGAGGAAAAATATGAGATAAAGAAAAGATTAAGAATGAAAATTCCTTCCCATGAGAATAGGGAAAATAACCATTAAAAAAGGAAAAGGAAACAGCTATGCAGGAATATTTATGGCATAAATAAAGATAGAGAATGAAATGTTAGGATAATACTAGTTCTAGTAAAAACAACTGGCCCTTTTGAGAGATGGCACTTTAAACTATGACTTAATTCTGTATTCCTAAAGTCTCAATTGTTTAACTGAAAAATGCTCTGAGTATAATCAGTTTTCATTAGAAAAAGGCACCCTAAATTTCTGTGCTATGCGTATTTTGCCCCACTCTCCACTTCTAAATTCACCTTTTATAACAGAAGAAATGCTGGTAAATGTTTTATTGCTAAAATCAGATCTAAGGGCAAGGCAATGTAGATATTGCAGAAATCAGGAAACCACAACTTAACTCTATAACATAGGAGAAAAGTTGTTTGCTATATAGAATACAGGTTTTCCAAAGTCTAAATTTTTGTCTTATATCTACATGTGTTAAATGTTCCCCAAGAATACCTCTGAGGGCTGCAACAAATTCTTATCGTAAAGCAAGAGTCAGTAAATTTTTTCTGCAAAGGGCTACATGGTAAATATCTTAGGCTTTTGAGGGCTATAAAGTATCTGCTGAAACTTCTGAACTCTGCCACTGGTTGCAAAAAAACACCCATAAATAATATGTAAATGAACAAGCATGGCTCTGTCCCAATAAAACTTAATTCATGAATACATTTTATTTGAATTTCATAGAATTTTCACATCTCACAAAACATTCTTCTTTTGATTTCTCCCCCAACCATTTAGAAATATAAAAACCATTCTTAGCTCAAGGTCCGTACAAAAACAGGCAGCAGGCCAGATTTGGCCAAAAATGCCAAACTTCATAAATATTTTCACAATTGACTGCCTTGTAGCTTTTTTTACAGAGGGGAAGGGAGAGGGATAGAGAGTTAGAAACATCGATGAGAGAAAAATATCGATCGGCTGCCTGCTGCACACTCCCTACTGGGGATGTGCCTGCAACCAAGGTACATGCCCTTGACCGGAATCGAACCTGGGACCCTTGAGTCTGCAGGCTAACGCTCTATTCACTGAGCCAAACCGGTTAGGGCTGTAGCTTTTTTTTTTACCCTAAGAAAGAGAACTCTCTGAGTCACATAACACTAGAAATATCCTCTATTAGGTACAGACCAAAGTAACTTGCAAGTTTTAATGAAAGATAAGAAGTACTCTAAGAAATAAGCAAAAGAGATACGTCACCAGGTGCATATTTCCCAATTGTTTGCTCCAACATATTTCAAGATAAAGTGAAAGGCAAGAAAATATGAATAAGAGGGGGGGAAAGTATGTCCTAAGAGAAAAATCTGTCGTGTACTCTAATCAAGAAAAGCATCAGTTCTAGTTCACATACACATATGGTCACGCTGTTCTCGATATGAGACAATATGCAAAACTCTAAAGATCATATCATGTCTAATCAAAAAGTGTTTCTTAAGCCAAAGGAAGCTAAGGTAGCTCCCACCATTCATGCCAGCCATACTGTGACGCCTACCATTTTCTTCTCCCTTGATTTCTAGTTAAAATTCACAATGTAAAGTATCATAATACTCCAAAAAATATCCTACCTTGCATGTTCCTGAACTCCCACAATCTCCACTTCACTATCTGAAGAGGCAATATTAATTTCTTCATTGAGTGGTGCACTGCCAGCAGATGTCTTGTCACTTGCTAGGAACCCTGGATCCAAATGACCTGAGAGAAGGGTGGGGAGGGAGATAAGCACTACATTTTGATTTCTTACAACAGCAGAAAGAACTCATTGACAGACTTCTCATCCAGGTTCAATCACAGAAAGAGAATGGTCTTATGAGATCTTGTCACAACAAAACGGTTACCCATGTCAAATAAACAGGAGCAGTGTTCTAGTTAAAAAAACACACAAAAAAACACACAAAAAATTAAACAGACCACACCACACCTCATAGTTATAAGAGTGTTCAAACAACATGGAAGTACATAAAAGTAAGAATTCCAAGTCTCACCCTCTACTTATATTCCTTAGGAGGAAAAACTTAGAGTATTTTGGTAAGTATGTATAGTATATCTAAATATAGGTAAATATAAATTATAATAATACTCTATGTTTAGTTCCATAATGCTTTTTGCATTTAACTAGTCTGTCTTTAAATAACTCACACAAGAATTCTGCCACTACCTAGAGGGCAATGGAGCTCTCTGCTACTTATCATTTCAATAGAACAAAATTCTACCAGAAAAGTTCAAAGGCATAAATGGAATAAATACTCTTCACTAAATTTTAAACAAATTTAACAATTTTCTCTAAAGAAATGCAGATTTAAAAAAATCTAATCCCAAACCACATATAAAAGTGAAGATTGTAATTTTTGCTTTGAGCAACTAAAACATAACCTGTATGGTGTTGACAGTTCTCATTAGACAGACACAAACCACACAACTCTGGGAAAAACAACTGTTTGTGGCACTGGAGCACATGAGGATTATTTCACAAGGGTCTTAATAAAGCTTCTATTACATAGTGCAATAAAAAACATTCTCCAAAAAAACAAAACAAACAAAAAAACACACATTCTCCAACATCACAGAAAGCATGAGCTTCCACAGAATTCTCTCTTAAGAAAAGCTAATGACATAGCATCAAAGTACATAGCTCTATAAACAATTCTAGCAAGAGTTAAAATTCAGCTTATTTCTCATGTCTTGAATGTTCTGACATAAAAGGATGAATTTTAGAAAATCTAGGAGTTAGTATGAATAAGCAGTTATAATAGGTATAAATTTGCATTTATTCTTTAAAGGGATTTTTATTTAAATACCAGAGGTCCAGTGCACGGATTCGTGCACAAGTGGGGTCCCTCGGCCTGGCCTGCAGGGATAGGGCCAAAACTGGCTCTCCGACATCCCCCAAAGGGTCCCAGATTGCGAGAGGGCACAGGCCAGGTGCAGGATTGGGACCAGGGAGAGACCACAGGAGGACTCCAGGGTGTTTCTGGCCCATCTTACCCAGTCCCGATGAGCCAGACCCCAGCAGCAAGCTAACCTACTGGTTGGAGGGTCTGCCCCTTAGTGGTCAGTGTGCGTCACAGCAAGTGGTTGAACGGTCTAACGGTCATACACTTACATATTAGGCTTTTATTATATAGGATATTGTCATCTAATACCAAATAATTTCTCCATATTTAAAAAAAAATCCTTTGTGACACCTTATATAAACTAAACCGGTAAGGTTTACATAAATACAATTCTCCTTTCCCCTAATCACACTCATTTCAATTTTTCAAGGTCATTGAGAAATCTTATACTTTCATACTCCTGCAAACGATTTTTTCTTTTTAAAATTATAGGTGGTCCCAAAACAAAAACTTTACCATTTTTATACCCTTTGATCCTGTAATCCCACCCATGACAATTCAGTCTAATGAAGAAAAAAAAACTTTAAACAAAATGTTATGATGTCCAAAGATAAACACTACAGTGCTATGTAAAAACCTGGGGAAATGTATGAACATGTAAGTATCTCACATAACACTATAAAGATATGTAGGTGCTGGGTAAAAGCTGTGAAAAGTAATCAAGTTTGAATATAATTGTGGGTCTTTTTTACAATTCTTATAACAGTATTTTTTCTATGAAAATAATGCATAAATGAGAAAAGAGAAGACTAAAAAGCTTAAACTGGCTTCTAGATACAACTGGTGATTGAGATATTACAGTGTAGATAGGATTCTATCAGTGGCAGTGAGCACTCACCTTTGAACCTTACACACATACAAGAGATGGCATCCATCAGACAAAACCTAGTTTTGTTAAAGTTAGGGTAGCTGCTTAAATGGAGTTTTTTGTTAAGTCTAGGTTTGGTAAACCTAGATTCTTGTTCTGACTTTGCCTGTGGCCAAGTCTTTTATCCAATTTCTACTTCAGTGTTATAGTTATCACTATTGTCAAGTATACTATTTCTACTGCAATTCTAGAAATAATACAAATTGACAAGTCTCTCTTTTTTCAATTATTTTGAGCAGCTTTGCTTTTGTGCAACTATAACAGTTTACTTCATCGATTTGTTCTTCAATAAATACTTGTTTATAATATGCTATGCACTGTGTTAAGTGCTAAGAATACTATGGGGAACAAGACAGGTGTACTCTCTACCCTCAACAAGCTTACAATATATCTGGGGATAATAAAAAGTAGTGCATTGCAAGGTGGCTTGAAAACTGCTCTGAAAAGGAGGTAGAGAGTCCCTGGAAACACAAAGAAAAGGAACATTTCCCAGACTAGAGGATAATCAAGGAAACTGAACTCTCAGGAAGGAGTAAGCACAAGTAAGAAGCAACATAAGAAACACTATATTACCCTTTAGGTTAGGGTATAAAAGTTTGCTGGGATCAGCCAGTTTGGCACAGTGGTTGAGCACTGACCTAAGAACCAGGAGGTCATGATTCGATTCCTGGTCAGGACGTATGCCTGGGTTGCGGGCTCGATCCCCAGTAGGGGGCATACAGGAGGCAGCCAATCAATGATTCTCTCTCATTGATGTCTCTCTCTCTCTCTCCCTCTCTCTCTCTCTCTCTCTCTCTCTCTCTCTCCCCCCCCCTCTCTCTCTCCCCCTTCTCTCTGAAATAAATTTTAAAAATGAAATAAAAATCAGTGCAAGACAAAATATGGCACATGAGGTTAAATTAGAGTGGGCTAAATACAAATTTCCTGGTGAATGGTGTGAGAGTTTTGCCACATTTCCTGTCAGAGCCATTAGATAAAGTATGCTATTCAAATAACAAGTCAGCTGGGATCCACATCAAGTCTGTGGAATGCCATGCTCTTCAAGAGACACCAAGGCATTCTCCAATAGCCAAGAATGAATCCCCCATTCTGTCTATTTCAGACCCAGGGCAATTAGTCCTTTTCTCTCAATGTAACCCTCTTTAGCATGTCACATTCCTTGAGAGCTCCTGTGCAGAGCCTGACATTCTCTGGCCTTTGGTTCATTCCCCACCGCCTCCCCACCCCATGCCCTCACAGGAATCCAATGGCAGAACACTGCCTAAAGAATACACAAAAGTGAGCAAAGATGATATGAGGTTCTTCAAATACTGTCAGTGGTTGTAATCTAATCCCATTCTAGGACAAGAGTAAGCCCTGTAGAAAAAGTGTCAATACCACAATTACCATATATTAAACTGAAAATGGTTTGTCCTCCCACTACAGACCTTTTCAACACATAAGTCAGAAAGAAGCAACAGAAAAAGTAGTAACTAAATTATCATGGGAAATATTTCTTTTGCCTTCAAAAGAAATAATGTAGCTCTTTTATTTTTTAATTGATGCCAGAGAGAGGAAGGGAAAAGGAGAAACACATCCATGTGAGAGAGAAACATTGATCGGTTATCTCTGGCATGCACCTTGACCAGGGATTGAACTTACAACCTGGGTATATGCCCTGACCAGGAATGGAACCCACCACCTATTGGTGTACGGGATGATGCTGCAATCAACTGAGTCACCCGGGCCGGGGCTGTAGCTACTTTTTAAATCACTAGTTTTAAGAACTAGTCCTGGACCTCTTGGTAGCACTTAAAGAAAATTATTACATACTGGATGGCAGCAGCATGTTAGCTATAAAATAGGTTAATATCTTAAGGTGCTACTCATTTAGCTTTAAAACAAACAAATTATTAGCTTGTGTTTAGTTTGCTCAAGAATGTTAAAAGCAACTTTAAAAAGGGAAAGGAGGTTAGAAACTAAAATCTTAAGAGTCCATATGAAACTTGTAAACATGAGGAACCTGACCAAACTTGACCTCCTTCACAAGACTGATATATTGACTTTAAAGTGCTAATAATAGAAACATGGCCGTTCTGGTCTGATTATAAAAAGCCCTACACTAAGGACAGGAAACCCAAGATTTGTTTCTCTGCACTACAACAAAGCTTGCATAATGGACAAATCAAGATTACTATCCCTATTTTAAGAATGAGAAAATGCTCAATGCTTACCTTCTTAACAAGAAGGCTGGGAATGGGGGCTAGGGGAGGGGATAGGATCATTTGTTTAGAATTTTTAATTTCCCAGGGGGAAAAACTCTAAATAAATTCAGTTTACCATAATTATAAGTCTTCCACACCAAAAGAACTTCAGACTTATGCTTCTCTTAGCCTCATCTACACATGTTTACAGTGAGCTATTACTAGCAATAAACAAAAATATCAGATATGTTGGTACTGTTTCCTAAACATATCCAATGCAAGAGTTAACTGGGGGTGATTATTAAAAACAGATTCACAGCCCTGGCCGGTTTGGCTCAGTGGATAGAGCGTTGGCCTGCGGACTCAAGGGTCCCAGGTTTGATTCCGGTCAAGGGCATGTACCTTGGTTGCGGGCACATCCCCAGTGGGGAGTGTGCAGGAGGCAGCTAATCTGATGGATGTTTCTCTCTCATCGATGTTTCTAACTCTCTATCCCTCTCCCTTCCTCTCTGTAAAAAATCAATAAAATATATTTTTTTAAAAACACAGATTCACAGACTACATTTCAGATCTACTTTACAAAACCTTTGGGGAGAAACCCTAGGAGTCTGAACTTTTATAAGCACCCCAGGTAATATCTATACTCAGACAAAGTTTAGGAAATACTGTAACAAGAGCAACTTTATGCCAGGGCAGGGTATAAATTAGCAATCCATTAATTGGGCCCATTAATCACCTCCTTATTCGGTGTATTTCAGCATAAATACATTAACATCATGCTAGTTAGCACTCCTGCGGGCCTACTGTGTGCTGCATCCTGTTCTAAGTACATTATATATGTTACTTCACATTAATGGTACTAACCTTTAGGGATGGATACTAGTTTATAAATTGGGAAACTGAAGTTTTACATAAGTTACCTGAGGTCCCACAGTGTTTAAGTGGCTGCTGGTTCAAAACCAGGATGTTTTGTTGCCACCTCCTATACTGTTTAATTCTAGCATCAAGTAAGAAAAAGTAAACACATGGCAACAGTTGAAATGAAAAGTTTAAGTCTTTTATTGACCGGGGGCCTTCGTAATTTCAACTCTTTTGCCTTGGTTAAAGTTAAAAATAAATAGTATAACTATTTTGCATACAAGGACATGACCTAAATGCTTGGAAAAAGAGAAAAACTACTCTATCTCCAATGATTACTCATGTGATCCTAATGGAGTCGGGCTGCTGACCTGGTCTGAGATGCTGCTATTAATTAACCCCTGACTAGTCTGTTCAGTGACTGGGTTTTTATTTTGTTGGGAGAGAAAATTAACCTTTAGAACATTTATCTTAAATTCAAACCAGAAGAATGACCATTCAATTGATAATAGCTCAAGTCTCTAAACTATAAACTGGCCATTGAGGATAAATTCTTTTAACATTTACACATTTTAAGTACATTCAAATTCACAAAATGAGTTTCTTCAATAACAATTACATTAAACCTCGAGTGTGTTAAGTTTTATTTATTACTCACATACCTGCATTGCTATATTTAGAAGGGGGGGATGACTCACTTTGAATGAGTCAATAAATGGCTTCACAAGAAAATGTCATGAGGATCTGTTGAACAGTGATGACCATGTCCTATGATGTACAAAAATCTACCCATAATTTATGGCCTGATATAAGCATATGTTTTTATCCTAGAGAAATCATCACACAGATGTACCAAGAGACACACACAAGAAATGTTAGTGGCAGTATCATTTGGAATAGCACCTTAAATGTCCAGTAAAAAAATGGGTACGTCAATTGTGATATAATCATAGAGTGGAATACTAAGTAACAGTAAAAATGAATTAACTAGAACCATATTTATTACCAAAAACAAAGCTCACAAAATGTTCAACTAAAAAAGCAAGTTGCAAGTGACTATCTTCAATATAATATCAATTAGTATTAAAACATGCTTGTTTACAGATATGTAACAAATGCAATAAAAACATAAAATAATACAGAGTAATAGCAAACACCAAATACCAAAGCATGACAGTTTTGGAGTAAGAAGGGGAAAAATAAGGTGAATAAAGTTGAAGCCATGGGTATTTCCCTCCTCACATATTTTTGCCATGTTTTATTTCTTAAGACCAGTGGTAGGTACCTGAATGGTACTGTCTTTCTAACTTTGAGTGACTGAAATTCAAAAAGATAATCAAATATAGAATTAAGTACACAAAGGCTAATGATGTTTTGAATAGTCAAGCTAACAATTACTTGAATCTGAAAATGTGATGCTATCTATCCCCAAAGCTGGTAACTCTAATGATACAAGACCCCAAACCTTGTACTATTAGGCTGAAGCATATGAAACTGCTGGGTTTGTTGTAGGTCAAAAGTCAAATATTAACAATTTAGGTCAAACTAATATTAAAATTCTCTAAATGAAAAGCAAAAAAAAAAAAAAGAGGTAATTGTTCATGTTTTTCTCAAGCATTTACAATAAAGTGGTCTACTTAATGGCAAACTAAGAAAACAAAGAAATACTAATAAAACTGAAGTAGAATGAACCATTTAATTGTCAATGGATGAAAAATGAAGATAAACTACCCAGTACACAGAAAAAAATTATAAAACTTAGAAACACATATTGCAGAAAATGTCAAACTACTCTCCTTTGATACAAAGTATTACTACTTAATTCTTTTTAAAGTACTTAGACATATTAATAAATCCTTAAAAGACCCTTTTTATGCAAAGCAAGTATTTGACATCCAGAAAAGAACAGCTTGTCTAAGGTCAAATAGGCAGTTAGCAGTCAAAACATAGTTAAAATTAAGTCCAGGTCCTGCTCTGTTCCAAAATTAGTCAAAATAAATTAATTAGAAGCTCAACAACAAGCGATTTTTATTTGCTTCCATCAAAAAGTATGAAAGGAAGAATTAAGGACAATGATCTGTGGAGTTCTGTCTTTATTTCCTGACAATTTAAATATAAAAAGTTCTAAACTAAAACCCATTATTTGTGTAATACAAAACTCATTTCCCATAAACATTTTAGGTAGTGATTAAGTTACTAGATTCGCTCATAAAAGCCAAAGCAATTCATAGTTTAAATAGAAAATTATAATCTTTCTATAACATGAAAGAAAATACACTACATAAAGTCTGTCAACAGCTTCCCCCTCCTTTCTTAAATTTAAGTGCTAGTACTTTTAGAGGGGAAAAAAAAAAGGCTTACATGAGAATACTTAAAGAGTTTTGAGAACCATATTGAAGGAAACTTGGAGGCATCTGTGCAAGGTTTCAAAGGTAATAGCAATGGGTTTTTTAGCAAATAAATATCACTCTTAAGAATCATCACAGAACCAAGATGAATAATGCAAGACAAGGAAAGAAATTTTTCTGAGATAATAGAGGCAGAAACTGTAAGAAAAGGATTAGAAAAGACAAATATGAAAACTACAGTAGAGGAAATAACAGGGGCACTTCACACCAAGAGGTGGAAGAACAGTGCAGCACTATATAGGAACAGCCCCTCAGGGCAAGTATGAACAAGCTGCAAGGCTGCTGCGCAGCTAAGTGAGGAAAACCATTGAGAAGTGGGGATGAGATGGGAAAGTATTAGGTTATCTGGGTGGTTTTTACATGTCAGGCATTTTTAACTCAAGAAATATGCATACTAAAATCTGTTTATGCCTACAATTAATGTCTTATATATTGTCATTTTTGCTTCCTCCTGATTAAGAAAGATGAATGACATGTTACCCCAAACTCCTTTACAGTCAGTTATAAATGACACCTGGATGCCTCTGGTTAGCCTGCGCACCTCAGCAGGGCCCACTATGAGAAACAGCTGCCAGGACACATGCACATTACATTAGAGAAGGGGAAGGGGAGGGAGACCAACCTGCCTCCGCATCCAGCTCCTCTAGAAGCCCGCTGGTCCTCCAGGTAGCTCCTGTGTCCTGGCCTCCTACAGAATTACTGTGCTCTTGAACTACTGCAGCCGCCAATAAAGTGTCCACATTTACCACTTCTGGGTCAGAGCTGGTGTCAGACATATCATAATAAGCTATAACTGGAGGTCCATCTAGGGAGGAAAGAAAATGTATACTTGTATCTAACTTGTGGGGTGAAAATACTTCTGAAACTAAGAGCCCTCTAAATGCCAGTTGCCTTTATCTTATTACTCTAGCTAATCAGAAAAGCTAATATTTACATCTAATATTTTGTACATGATGTGAAAGTGAAAAAGATAACCCAAGCTTACAAAGATAAGGGACACATTAGGGAAGGAGGGAAAGGTGAGTTATGAAGAACAGAAGACAAGACTATACTGAACAATGTTACACTGAACTGACATCATACTCTTAAAGAGCAAAAGATTAAGAAAAAAGGGAAGACTCCACAGAGAAAGTGAAACTGATTTTTAAAGGAAAAAAACAGATGTAAACTATTAAAACTCAACTTATACTTTTAAGAGAATGAATCTAGTTCTCTTAGTAGCTAATACTAAAACTCCCCAGTAGAGTCAAAGAAAATCAAATATGTATTTTTCTACTCTCTAAAGAAATAAGATTAACACTAAGAGCTCTACCTGACTGACGTATTTCCAGGGAAGCCCTTTAAAATATCAGGGATGTTATACATTTTACAACATTCTACAAAAAGACAACACAAAATCCATCTTCAGGATTTTGCTTTGGATGTCTTGTGAGGGATATTTATATTTTCTTTTCCCTGAGAAAGACAAGCAACTCACACCCCAAGGAAATGATATACAATCTCACGGGTCATTTTAGAGGAAGATAAAGTTCTTACCGGAAAAATAAGAGATCCCTCCTACCTCCAAATCACCCTAACTAGCTATAAAAAAAAAAAAGCAGCTCAGTTACAAAGTAATTACACTGCAGCAATTCATGCTAAAATAACTCAATATTCATGCTTGTATAATAGATGCATGCTTTAAAATGCTAAAGGTACCCTTTTTCTAATACAACAGCAAAAAGTTTTCAATCAAGTATGAAACACATCCCTTACTACTACCTCCAATTTAGAAGAAAGCAGAAATAACAGGATGCTCTTTCTCCCAACAACTATCTATGAAGTGCAGGCAAATAATTTATTTCCATAAAGATTTTTTAATATCATCCAACAAATTAATATTAAATACACCTATTTTATGAGACTATCATAAGAAATACATATGCTAATGAATCATTTAACTAAAACACAATGAAAGACTACTGTTTTAATACAAAAATACATTGTGTAAATTGTCACTGAACAAAACATAGAACACACTTCGGATATTCATCCCTTAAAACTAAGTTCCTAAACCTGGTTTACATAGCAACATTAAAAAACAACACATGACCAAACATAAATGCAAATGAGTTAAGTGTCACTGTAAAAGGAACAGACATGTCACAATATGAAATTCTGACGACCGTAACAGTTTGTTCACTACTTAAAAATAATTTCTAATTCTCCCAAAAGGGTAAATCGAGTTCATAAAATTCAAGTGTGGCCTCAGTATCAATTGGCAATGGATTTTAGTTCAAATAGCAAAAAAGTTGGCTCATGTTTGAGGTTTTTCTTTTCTAATAAATAAAATGGTATAACTTATGGAGTTCTCATCAGAGTTCAAAATGATTATGGAATAAAGATACTATGTAATGTCCAATTTCTTGAGTGCAGAAGATATGAAGGTCAAGTACAATAATGACTATTTGACCAAATGTTCTATTTTTAAAAGGGCTTTAAGTGTTTTGTGTTGACAAAAAAAATAGTTATTTATGTTAAAATTTATATCACTAATACCAATCAGAGCCACTTGCCCCACATACCCCACCACAATCACCAAATTGAGGCAACAGGTCAACAGTCAAGTCAAAATTGTACCACTCCTACATGTATAATCATGCAAAAAAAGTATTAAGTATATATGTACATGCAGTGTGATATCACCTACCCAAGGAAATAACTTCTCTGAAAGTCTTCATCAGTAGGAAATACAAGCATAAACTTGTTATCTGGCTTCATTCTTGCATCTTCCATATTTCCAAACAGCACACCTTATAGCTTAGCTTAAATTTAGTTTTCATCACAAACAAAGACAGTAATATTTTCATATTTTAATTGCACTTAACAGTTAAAACAAATGATCATCACTGTCATTTTTCTCTTTTCTAGGATATTCAAATGATGACAAGTCAATACTACACCAACTTTAATAAAGTAAAGGAATAGTTGCCTTTGTGACTTTGTCTTTCAACAGAAAACCACAATTAAGAATCTTGTGTTCCAAGGTCATCTTACACTTATCAATAGCAAATCAAAATTAACTAAGAGTTGTTTGAAGCACTTAGCAGCAGGGTTTGGACTTTAAAGCACTAAATGAATATCAGTTCATTAATGGTGACAATTTGTAACATTCTTTTAAAAAAATGACTCTTGCTACACAGAATTAAGAAACAGGTTAGGTCCTATAAGGAAATCATTTGCCTTTTAAAAGAAGTAACTCTTAAAGAAACAAATTAAAGCACTGAGAAGCTAGGAAAACTCAGCCACTAATATCAGAAGCAGTGATCTATACTTTCAATATGATGCTTGCCAATTCATTACAGGATGGAATAAACATGGAGATACTGTCCTTCCTCTCACTCGATTATTGCTCTATGCTATTAAAACAACAGAACTGCTACCAAGATTTTAACTTTCAGAAACATCTAGTCACTTCAACATGGAAACGTTTCCAATTTAAAGTTATCATTAATGTTAAGCACATTCCATGTTATTCAGACTCCACATTCTCCTATCTGCTCTGTCACAATCTGAAAACAAAAATTTACAATAATGAACTCACTAGTTTTTCTACAACCATTAAAATCATCTCTCTATAAGAGTAAATTTAACACAGTCAGTTAAGAATTATTTGGTCTGTGCTTAATCCAAGTCCCATTTTCCTTACTGATAGTCTGAAATTCCGCTGCTCATTAACAATTACAAGGCAAGAAAGATTAAAGGCTGAACAACCCACTGGCTACTTGTTTTATTTAAGAACATCAACTCATCTACTTTATGCTAGAAATAGGTTTGCACCCTCTTGATGACCTCCTAGCCTATAAATAGGTTCTAACTTTTCAAATACCAAAATGCAGATGTATCTGTGTCATCACATTCCTAACAGTGAGATTTACCCTTTTATGACCTTAAACCTCCTGTATTATTATCATCAAATATTTAATTTTATGAGTTAGTTTTCTTTCAAATATGTTCTCTTCTTAATGTCATGGAAATAATTTTAATCACAAAAACAAAGCAAAATAAAACCTAATATCCTTTATTACATTTATCCCTGACAAACCCATTTTCAAATTTAACAATCAAAAGCACAAATTTAAAACTATACAAGGTAATTACATAATTACCACTCATTTTACAGATAAGAAATGTGAATCCTAGTGAGGTGGAATCAGAAGAGATTACAGTTCTCCTTGTCAAGGGAACAAGGAATATACAAGATGAGAATGGGAGCAGCATAGAAGTACACCCAGATTTTTGGCAGCAAACACACAGGTTGAAGTCCTGCCTACTAACTGTATGACTCAGTTTCTTCAAGGCTTATGGTTGAGGGTTAAAAGAAGATATAACACAGAATAAGAATATCATAGGAGTTCAAATATTGGTCTGTTGCCCCACCTTTCCATTATAATTAGCACTTGCTCTATTCCATTATCTATTTGCTTATCTTTGCGTGTAAACTCTGCTATCCAAGGCACTCATGCAAGAAAGCTTTGAGAAAAACATCACTGCATGGGCTGGTGCCTTATAGATTAACCCAACTTGTTAAGAAAATGCTTTGCTGGAATTAATGAGATTATCACAAATGTGACTTTCCTATTTTTATTTGTTTCAAGTGAAATGTCAGCTTGGATGTATTCATATAAAAGTGTTTCAAAGCCAAATACAACTTATTTTGGATTATTTCATATTTAGCATCATCCTTGCCTACACAGCCCTTGCACTAACACGAGTGTTGTCAGTATTCCAGTATGAAGTCTAATTAGTTCTAGTATCCAGGAATTGCTCTAGTATCCCTGAGGTACTTGAAAATGTCACTCTTCCTCCTCTCTTGATTGCAAGTCTTAGGCCCAAGGAAAGGTGGGCTAATGAACCAATACATGGCTTCCCTCTTCAACTCCCATTTCCATGGCTACAGTAACACACAATAAAGCCCAGAGAAAATTCTTTCTCTCCTCCCAACTACAGCCAACCTCCCAAAACCCCTCACTGGGAGAGGAAAAATCTATTTTGTTGCTGCTAAAGGACCCCATATAGGCTCTACACCCAGTCACTAAAGGGCCTGGGCCCAGTACCATTCTCTACATCAAGAGAAGGGGAAAGGGGTAGAAATCACACTCAGACTCAATCCAGATATTGAGATTTTAAAAAGTTACACCTGGCCCTAGCTGGTTTTGCTCAGTGGATAGACCGTAAGCCTATAGACTCAAGGGTCTGGGGTTCGATTCTGGTCAAGGGCACATGCCTGAGTTTCGGGCTCAGTCCCCAGTATGGGGCGGGGCATGCAGGAGGCAGCTGATCAATGATTCTCTCTCATCATTGATGTTTCTATCTCTTTCTCCTTCTCCCTTCCTCTCTGAAATAAATAAAAATATATATTTTGTTTAAATGCACTTAAAAAAAAAAAAGGTTATATCTAAAAGAGGAGTTCTCAGCAGAACCTCAAGAGCTGCTGAAGGGAATTTGCATTTTAAGAAAACTTACCCAAGAAAAAACAGCTTTTTCATTACACACCAAAATATTCACCAAGATGGAAATTTGTATTTGCAGATGAGGAAAAATATGAGAATATTTATGCTGTATTTTCACTATCAATCAAAAAATAAAATATAAACAGAATCTGAAACAATAGAAAGCTATTATTTTTAGAGTATCTCTTAGAAAAGATGAATAATTTATCAACCACAAGAGACAAAAATCTGTATAGAAAAGCACCTCTCTAGAAAATATAGCTTTAAATACAAAAAAATTGCACTGTATATATTTTCTTCAGAGTAGCATCAT